TCTCTCTCTCTCTCTCTCTCTCTCTCTCTCTCTCTCTCTCTCTCTCTCTCTCTCTCTCTCTCTCTCTCTCTCTCTCTCTCTCTCTCTTTGAGGAAACACCCGATAAATGAAGACTAAAAATAGCTAAATCCACAACTCCTCTAGAATGACTGGTTATTCCGCTTAAAGGTGGGTAGACCGTCCACCCGGTACCAGCACCGACTTCCACTAAAGCAGAACTTAGAAGAGGTAATAATGATGGTGGTAATAACCAAAAACTGTTTTGTGGGTCATCGTTATGCATCTTATCATACTTGCAAAGTCAAATAACATAAAAAATGTCATGCAAACAAAACACGATATTGCTTGTATTCAATCAACTTTAAGTAACACTATAATTACCATAAAAGATTCTTTTGGAGATACCAAATCTTGGTCCTCTTCTGGTTCAGTGGGATTTGAAGGATCTCGTAGTTCAACTACCTGCACCAGCTTGGTCTGACATTTTGGCAGCTCKTTCTAATAAACGAGAATGTAGATAAAACACATCTCCTGGGAAAGCTTCTCGACCAGGTGGTCGACGTAACAATAATGACATTTGTCGATATGCCACTGATTGTTTACTTAGATCATCATAGATAATTAGAGCGTGCATTCCATTGTCTCGAAAAAATTCTCCCATAGCACAACCTGCATAAGGAGCAAGAAACTGAAGAGGAGCAGGATCTGACGCAGTGTCGTCAGTATATGGGTCATTTTACTCGAAGACACAATTTCGGGTTTGAAGTTGCTGCTTGGTATTGGCATTTTATTGATGTGGTTTGGTTGTTTCTATTTGTATCTATTTATTGGTGGGGGGGTAATTAACACTTACTACCCCAAAACCCGGGGATGCGTGCCAAAGGGCTCGCAAGAGCCGGGTCCCCGACCGAAGGCGCCGAAGGCTTCGTTTGAGCCGCGGTGAATATGTACTCAGGCCTTGTACACACCGCCCGTCACACCATGATAATTTCTTTTACCCGAAATCGTGTCTACGATAAACCATTAAAACCAATGACTTTGATACGTTACGCACGTCAAATGCGCAACATGTTTTTCGCATCGTTGATCATAGAGACTATCACGGTAGAATCAGTGACTGAGGTGACTTGAAAAATCAAAATAACAAAATTCGTGACTGAGGTGACTCGAAAAATCAAAATAACGAAATTCTTGAGTCATTTCATTAGGCTAAAAAATCACACGTTTCTCTGAATCACCGTATCGTACTTCCACATATCCAGTTAAGGGAAAGTCTTTTCGTAACGGATGACCCTCAAAACCATAATCTGTTAATATACGACGTAAATCAGGATGGTTGGAAAAATACACACCAAACATATCCCATACTTCTCGTTCCCACCAACCAGCAACCGGAAATATTTTGACTACTGAACAGATGGGAGTTATTTCATCTACATGTGTATGTACACAAAGACGTGAGTTATACTCAATACTCAGTAAGTTATACACCACTTCATATCTATCTTTTCGAGAAGGATAATCAACTTCACAAATATCGATTAAAACTTGAAATCTTTCTCTCTCTCTCTCTCTCTCTCTCTCTCTCTCTCTCTCTCTCTCCCTCTCTCTCTCTCTCTCTCTCTCTCTCTCTCTTGGCACTGACTTTCATTCACTGCCATAGTCACTCACTCTTTTCGTCACTCAGCATCATTATCAGTCACATTCATTCTCATTCACTACCTGGGCGTGCCTTGTGCGCACACACAAAAAAACAATTGTACTTGCGTACAATGTGTTGTATGCGCGCACAAACGGCGCTTTGTACTCTTTTGTAGGCTACCTGCGAATGAATTATACACGGGAGCCAACATAAAAAAAGAAACTAGTGCGGCAGGGCACGATTTGAAACTGTAAAGGCAAAAAAAACAGGAATGGGCGAAAAGAACGGCTGCCGAACTCAAAAGGGCAATGGAGGCACCACGCGCCGTTTTGGGCCCTTTCATTTGTTATGACACCTGGCCTGGACCACAGCGCACAGTGCTTTCATCGCCCTTTCGGGTTTGGCGGCTGTTGTTTTCGCCCTTTCGTGTTTTTTTTGCCCATTGGAAACTCTTTTGTGACACAAAGCGTACCCCCAAAAAAAAACATGGAGCGATGGGCCCCGAAGTGTAGTTTCCACAACTTCCAGGAAAAAGATAACGAATAAAATTTTTGCCAGTTTTTTTTTTTTTTTGTGGAGTACTAATTTTTGGGGCCTTGGGTCCTGTTTCAACAATTGGGCGAGAAATTGGGTACCGACGAAATGGCCGAGTAGGACAAAGCCCTCTACAAAAGGCAGGGGAGGCTCATGATTCGGACCATCCCTGGACCTTTTGAACTGGTCCGCAACTCAAGGTGAATGGGTGTTTAGAGAGAGAGAGAGAGAGAGAGAGAGAGAGAAATAGAGAGGTTCCCCACTTCCCCCAGGGCCCCCACCCTCTCGAAGCCCATAATACCACCCCCCCAACACGATTCCCTGCCTCCAGAAAAAAAAGAGCGAGGTACTTTTTCTTTTGAAACAACGGCGGACGCGGCATGTTTTTTTTTTTTTTTTTTAAAAAAGGGCCCAGTGCCCAAGGCTGATATTATCAATGAGAATGCTGAGGCCGGGGTCCTCACAGTCTACCCGGAGGGATCGCACGACCCTTGAGTTCCTAAAGGCACGAAAGACAGGCCTTCGGCGACTGTGTCAGGGCCTGAGTTCGAAAAGGCGTTCGT